CTACATACTCTCTCTACCTACCTACCTACTCTCTCTCCCCCTATCTACCTATTGTATTTCTCTCTCTCTACCTACCTACCTACTCTCTCTCCCCCTATCTACCTATTGTATTTCTCTCTCTCTACCTACCTACCTACCCTCTCTCTCCCTGCCTATCTACTGTATTTCTCTCTCTCCCTCTATCTACCTATCTACCTACCTACTCTCTCTCTCTCCCTGCCTATCTACTGTATTTCTCCCTCTCTCTCTCTTTCTATTTCTCTCTCTCTATCCCTCTACCTACCTACCTACATCCCCCTCTCTCTCCCTACCTACCTACTGTATTTCTCTCTCTCTCTCTCTCTCTCTCTCCCTCCCTCCCTTCCTCCCTCCCTCCCTCCCTCCCTTTATCTACCTAACTACTCTATCTCAATACCTACCTACTGTATTTCTCTCTCTTTCTCTCCCTCTCTATCCCTCTATCTACCTACCTACTTTTTAAAAAAATTGCCTCTTGAAAACCTTGGTGCGTCTTATACTCCTGATGTCTTATACTCCGAAAAATACAGTAACCGCTTTGCTTTTATTTTTGAAGACAACTATTTTTTATTGAATCCAGCTCTTAACTCTTGTATAGTTTGCACCAGAAGTATTTCAGCCTAGCATGCTTTGCTTAATGTTATAGTAATAGTTAACATTTATGTAACATTTTCAGAGCTTTATCAGACTGTCTCACCTGCAGTTTCTTACTTAAGGCACAAAATATGCCTGCTGGTAGCCAACCAGTGTGACCAGTATCCTCACACAATTACAGAAGAGGTATCAAAAAGACAATAATGGCATGGCACATTTGGATCTGGGTGTAATGACAACTTTCTTTCTCTTTGCTAGATAATAAAAGATCGGATATTTCATCAGGAATCACGCCCAAAGTTCTTCTGGAACACACTTCCTGGAGGGTTGGTGGCCTTACCAGAATACTCTACTCATCTGAACGACTTCCCTTTCTATTATCCGCAGCAAGGTAGGGGAAATACCTCTGTGCTGTTTCTAACTTGTGTTGTGGCCCGCCAGCTGAGCTGGCAGCAGATTCAGACAGTGGAAAGGTTGGGGAGAAACATGGGCCAGTCCTGGACTCTGGGGAAGGGTCTGATGAGGGCTCTGTGTTGGAGGCAGAGAGGGGGCCAGAGCCGTATGCCAGTTATCAGCTGCCTTCAGAGTCATACATCAGTGAGGGAGACAACAGCTAGAGCCTGTTCCCAGTGTGCGCATGCTCAGAGTTGCCAGATGAAGGAAACAGTAAAAGAACAGGGAGCGACTTGGGAGTAAGGCCACAGGTGAACAATGAATGGCCCCTCCCAGAGGAAACAAAAGAGAAGCAAAAGGGGAGTGGAGTTTGCAGGAGACAATTAGTTCGCTTAATTGGTTCGTGACTCTCCAAGACTCCTTGACAGGTTTTGCAGATATCGGCCTGTCAGCTCTCCAAGCCAGAAAAGGTCTGTGACTGTAAATCCTCCCTTGAAAGACTTTGCTGGATGTGAACAAGCAGAATTCACAGTAAATTAATAAAAGGGGTTTTTGTTGGGACAAGGAGTTTGCTTCATCTTCTTGGGAACCTTGGTCAGAACAATAGTCCTTCCTCTTACAAAACTGCAAGAGAGATTTCTTGAAAATAATGGCCACTACTCTCAAGACTACTATGTGCCTGTCAGCTCTCCAAGCCAGATAAGGCCTGTGGGTGTAAATCCTCCCTTGAAAGACTCTTTGCTGTGAAAGAGCAAAATTCACAGTAAATTAACAAAAGGGGTTTTTGTCAGGACGAGGAGTTTTCTTCATTCTCTTGGGAAGCCTTGGTCAGAACAACTTGATTCTTTTTATTCCTACTTCTTCTTTCCTAAAAAGTTGAAGTTGCTAGTGGTGGACCTATCACAAAATGTTGCAGCAATGAATGTTCCTTTTCAAGTATTTAGATAGTCCTTGTGTTACGATCACAACTGGGAGTAGAATTTTTGTTGCCCATCAAGGCAGTGGTTTTAGTGAGCTGCGCCTGATTTTATGAGCTTTTTTTTTGCCCTGATTGTTAAGCGAATCAGTGCAGTTGTTAAGTGAGGTGGTCATTAAGTGAACCCAACTTCTCCCATTGACTTTGCTCATTGGAAACCGACTGGGAAGGTCGCAAAGGATGATTGCAGGACCACAGGATGCTGCAAAAATCCTAAATGCATGCCGGTTGCCAAAGCATCTGAATTTTGATCCTGTAACTGTGGGGATGCTGTCATAAGTGCAAGGGTTCCACCACAAAACTGAGTTAGACTAAAGCGCGTAGCTGACGTCATCACAGGGCGACAACAGCGCGGAGACAGACGCACGCTGTAAACGCTAAACCTAAAATTAACCCCTAAATCTAACCCTAACCCTAACCCTAAACCTAACCCTAAACCTAACCCTAAACCTAACCCTAAACCTAACCCTTAATCTAACCCTAAACCTAACCCTAATCCTTAACCTAACCCTAACCCTTAACCTAACCCTAACCCTAATCCTTAACTTAACCCTAAACCTAACCCTAACCCTAACCCTTACCCTTAACCTAACCCTAAAGCTAACCCTAAAGCTAACCCTTACCTTAAGTTGAATCGGCTTGCTTTCAAAGCGCTATTTAAAGCGCCCTTCTTTCTCCACACTGGCTGTTATCGCCGCGTTGATGATATCAGCAATGCAGTTTAGTCGGGCACGGTTTTGTTGTTCGCCCTTTTGATGGGTCACATCAGTTTCTACCTCAGAACAAGTTGGATGGGGCCAGTGCCGGAT